TAGCTTAATTGATTTTTGGAGGTTGAATCAATAAAAAATAAGGAGAATCTGCATTTGTTGATTTGATGAACTGTAATTAGTAAGATCTAATCAAACTAGAGAGAATGAGGATCTAGTATTCTATATATAAAAACAAAAAACAAAAAGAACTTCAGATCACACCTTGGGAAAATTGTGAAAAAAATAAGTTTGGGGGCGTGAGGATTCACGAGGGGAGAAATGATAAATTTGACTATCGAGGGTTAGGATTCGAATCACTTTATGAATTTATGATACTTGACATAAATTGTCATACACACACACACGTTAGTTTCATATTGGATAAGTAGAAATTATTTTTTTTCCATTGTGATTTTGTAGCAATTCATAGTTTTAATACCTATTTTCCAATATTGATATTAAAGGCAAATTATCTAACCATGTGTATTTAAATTTTTTGTTTAAATTAGGTTATAATTTTGTTTCAGGACAAACAAATATTCAAGTTTGAGGGTGCTCGATAAGTATATTTTGTACACTAATCTATGCCACTAAATTGTAGTAATTGTTAGTGATTTGAATGAGTTATAGCTTAATTATGTGTCAATTATGTTCGTTAGGTTGAACTTAATGTAAATTGGTGAAATTGGAAGAAAAGAATGAAAAATGGCAAAAACGAAAGAAATTCAAATTTTGGGGACCAAAGTGTAAACATTCAATAATTGATTTGGACCATAAAATGATGGTTGAATATCACATATGATCAATTGGATACAATTAGAGGTCAAATGAGTAAAATATAGTTGAACTATTTTCACAAATCAATTTCCAACTGAAGAAGTTATGCTCTAAATTTTTAGCCTCGACTTGAAACCCATTTTTAGGATAACAAATGTTTGAATTGGAAAAATTGTACTTCTAAAAGAATTATAACACTTTGAGTTATCGTTGCAAAACACTTTGAATCATCTCACTCGAATATCAAGGGAAAAAATTATGACCAAAATATCAAAAGCTCCTTAAGGACAACACTGCACGAACTGCCACGTACTCGGACAATTCTTAGCGTACACACAAGACGCCAATGTTCTAGCCCCGAGTAATTTACCATGCCTATGTGTGCGCAGTTAGGACAACACTGCACGAACTGACACATACTCGGACAATTCTTAGCGTTCGCACAAGACGCCAATTTTCTAGACCCGAGTAATTTACCATGCCTATGTGTGCGCAGTAGCTATAACTATGTGCGCAGGCCAAATTTTCTACTGATGAGCTAATATCCTTTTTTGATTCAATTTCTTATGGTAAGAATTTTGGGACGTTTTCTTGACCTAAATTCAACCTTTATAATTAGAAAATAAGATCTATACATTGAAAACCCTCTCTTGCCTTCATACACAATAATATCATCTAATTCATTAAAAACAAAGGGCCAATGGCTACATCGTTGATACGGGAGATCAAGCACTAGCAAGAAATTAAAGGTCAAGATTTAGAAAAATTCAATCTTGAACTTGAAGATCGGCATCTTTTGTATTATTTCATGATTCAGGTGATATGTTGTTATTATTCTTCTTCTAATTGATATATTAATATGTTAGGCTGAATCCATTTTTATATTAGATGAAGATAAATCATATTATTTATTTGTTTTAATTCAAGACTAGTAGCTTAGTTATTTTTTTTTCCTTTTCCTTTTTCTGTTTTGCTCTTGTTTTTGCTTTTGTTTTTGTTTTGTTATGCTCAATTTGCCTTAGAAAAGAAAGTTAAATATATTAACTTTATCAACTATCAAGAATACATGAATATGACTAAATTACAAATCAAAAATTGAAATAGATATCACACCACACATTTCATATTTTTTCTCACGTCCTTTTCCACACATTGCTTGCAACGAAATTGTTTTCTACCATTTTTCAAAAAATTATTTTCTACAGTAATCAATCTCTACCACACATTCAAATAATAAAATATTCTACGCATAAACCGATAAAGTTTCTTTCAATTTCAATCATACATTCTTCAAAAAATACTATTCATTACACAATTTTCATCCCAATAATGGTAGACAAACAGGCACTAAATCCAATACAATCATCCATTCATAGATAGGATTAATTTAGCATAAATCAAATCAAAACCATTTTGTTTTACACAATTCAAATTCTATACATAACTAGTAAACTTGAATTGAAATTTATTTTCCGTGTGACGATATTCTTTCTCACCAAAACTATTATTTGTCAACGATCTTGTATGCTTGCTGAATTCGCACGAACAATGATATCATACAAAAAGTTATATTTCAATAGTATCTGCTAGCTGTTTTTCTCACTAAAGAAAATAACACAAGTACATAGAGGATCAATGAATTTACCAAACTATTTTCATGTTCATACAATTTTCAGTTTCATGCGGCCAACTCAAATCAGGATAGACTGAACACACACACAAGGCTAGAATAGTGCGTAAAATTGCTGCACAAAAATCATAAAATCGAAAAACCAAATGCATCATACAGAGTGCAGTGTATAGTCGAAACACCCAAGCAAGCAAAGGTTCATACTCAAATTGTTCGAGATGACCAGAAAACTTTTACCGTGAAGATTGAACAGGATTGTGTTAACAAATGTCACAAATCAAATCCATTTTGGTTTAGCTAAAAAAACTTGATAAAAATATAAGTTAAAGTCAACAATTAATTTTAACCACACATTTAATGGACCCACAAATTTTATCAACCTTACAAGAACACATTTCATCAATTTTATCGAAATCTACTAAAAATTTTATTTTTAGCAAAACCAAACACAGGCTAAGTCAAATATCTTAGAAGGGAAAATTGTAAATCAGACTGCAAATTGCCACAATAGTCAAGTATACTTCACATTTTCACTAATGAATTCACAAATTTTATTGTGAAACATTCTAATTTTTTTCAAAAACACCATTTCACAAAGGCAGTTTGAAAAATAAAAAAAATTCCCTGGCCATTACTGCCAGAGTCCTCATTGCAGCATATCTTCTAAAGCTCAACACCTATCAAGACAAACCATTTTGTTTCTCCCCACATTCAAAACCAAAATAGACATAGTAACCTCAATCAAATATAGGCAAATAAACAAAGAGGAAGGATTATCAACTGCAATACAAACCATGCTAATCATTCACTAAACTTTTGTATTAGTGAACATGAGACACGAGTATAAATAAATAGGTGAATGGTGCAGGAAAAATATACAAATTTATTTTGCTGCTTGAATTCTAATTTTCCAAATTACGCCCCGTCTCCTAAAAAAATCACACCTATACATATACAGAAGTTGTATTACTCTTTGGAACAATAATTGTTGCAACATAATACCTTCACCATGGTATATTGATTAAAAATGTTCCTAGATCCACAAAGTTAATACTGCAAAAATATTTAAGGAGTTTGAGAACCTAAATATAATTCCAACTTCATGCTTATTCACAAAATATGTCCAGAAACACAAACTCCTCTGAGTTGGACTATTGGAAAAACAAAGCAAGCTAAGCACTTAATTTACGAATGCTGATTTGGCAATTTCTTCCATAATATGGTACAAGTTTTATAAGTCAATTGGTTTCTACTTTCTGAAAAAGGAGTATTGATTTGAATGTAACTGACTAACTTCTAAACAGGGTCAACCATCTTACTGATTTGGAGCCATCAATCTAAATTTTAACCACATTTTGGGTCTTATTTTGAATTATTGCAGTCAAACAATAGTATTTAAGTTTTCTTGGGAGCAAGTCTTCTAAATGTAAGTGAATTTTTTGCCAAAAAGATGTCAAGACTGCGCTCTTGTTTACTCCGAAAAATCGAGCTCGAAAATTAGGCGACAAAGGCAAAACGTAGATCAATCTATGTATGCTCTAAGAGTCCTAATTAATCCAAGAATAGACAGACAGATAATCGAATTTTTTCACCAAAAATTTCTTCCCTAATATCTTTCACTGCATCCCTCCAATATACTGGTTCATCAAGACAAAGATTGATTCAAATAATTCAGTAAGAAAATTAATCACATGCGGCAACAGAAAAGTAGATTAGCATTTTTGCTTATGGGGGTAATTGCAAGGAACTTTTACTGCAATCTAATTGCTTATTGAAGTTTTACAATTTAATCCACTTCAATCCACTGACAAGAAACTAGATACTTGACAGTACAAGTTGATTTATCTTGTCAATTAAACTAAACAAATAGAAATACTTTTGACATCAAATTTTAACCCTGGCTTCTTGTAACAATGAAGACCCTTTGCTACAACATTCACCACCCTCCAGAAAAACAGTACAGGACTCGAATAATCAATTAACTACCTCACCTAAACTAAAACAAGAGACTGCCTACATATCAATGTTGAGGCCATCTCGAACAACCAACCACCATACCTTAATGAGAGTGCTACAGCCACTCAAGGGACCACCATTTATGTATGTGAGTTATACATGCAGCAAGGGCACTCTATTTAAGAGTATTTTAGTGCCATTCACATGGAGAGATGTGGAGGTGATGACCAAGACTATAACGTTTATACTTTTAAATTACAGAGAATATAACATTTGTCTCCAGAAATTTAAGTCTATGAACCATAAAGAAAAAGTGAAATATATTCGGTAACTCAATCCTATCTTAAAATTTAAAATACTCCACTTAGCTACACGAATTCTAGACTTCTTTGCCTCCAGACTGATTCAATATACTCATATCACATTTTCAGAAAGAGATATAACAAACAAAGAAAAATTAATAAGAATCCGGGAATGTAATTAAGTTCAAAGAATGCCAAGCCAAAAATTACCCCCAATAGCAAACATTCAGATTAACACTATTTCTACTGGTGTGGGGATCCAAGAAGAGCAATATAATATAAACTAGTAATACTAATATAGATTACCCTCCGAAAATAATTGCAGTACCAAGTACATCGCATAACAGGTTAAAAAAAAAACATAACAATTGCAAAATAACCTTAACTAGAGTCGG